GGGAGGCTACAAGATCAACAGGCACCTTCCAGACACAAGGACCCAACGTTTTACTGGAAGAAGCTGTCCACAAGAGACCCCTCATTGTCACTGGCAGAGACGACAGACATAATTCCACACAGTGAGGGCTGGAAAAACAGGAGATATTGAACAAATCAAGGCTCAGAATACCCTCCAAAACTAACGTGTCTCGAAGTCCCTCTGCCACCCCAGAAAGAACATTACAAAGAATGCTGGGCAATAATAGCAAAATCGTTTATTAATGAATAGAAAGTATTAGAAAATACATGACAGAAAAAGAAGACAAACAAATATACAAGCAAGTTCACAAGGAGAAAATTCACCACAAAAAGATAAGTCACCAGAAACCTCCAAAGAAATAGAGGAACTTCTCATCCTACCAGGTAGAGAATTCAGAATCATCATGATAAACAAACAAAAAAAGAAGATGTGCAGGGAAAAAATGATATTAGACAAGCCATCAAGTTGAAGAATGCAAACATGGAAATGAAAGAAAGAAATGAAAAAGAAAAAAATTATATGAGACAAGCAATCAACGAATTGAAGAAAGAAAATAGGACATTAAAAAAGGAAATAAAAGTCTCCAAAGAAACACTATGGGCAAGAAGAGAGTGGAGGGACATACTCGACAAATTCTGAAGCATTAAATGCCAACCAAGAATACTCTATCCTGTGAAGCTCTCCTTCCTCTGTGAAAAAAGAATAAGGACACTTTCAGACAAACAGAAACTCCACAATTTTATCAAGACTACATCCCCACTCCAAAAAATATTACAAGACCTCAAAGCAAATCCAACAGAAGAATGAACAAGAACCCTTCAAAACAAGGAATAAAAATACAAAAGGACTAAAATAGCAAATGTAGTTGCCAGTATATCAATATTATTTCTAAATGTAAATGGCTTAAAATCATCAATAAAAAGACACAGAGTTGCAGAATGGGTTAAAAAACAGAAACCAACATTCTGCTGTCTGCAGGAAACTACAAAAAAATAAAAACAGATTGAAAATAAAAGGATGGAAAACAATTCACAAACAAATGGACCAAGAAAGATGAAAGGAACAGCTATACTTTATCAGATCAAATAGACTTCAAACTAAAAAAGTTTAAAAGAGAAACAGAACGTCACTAATTATGATTAAGGGGTCAATAAAACAAGAAAACATAACATTCATCAACATATATGCACCAAAGGAATGAGCACCAAAAAATATCAGGAAACTACTCATCTATCAAAACTTATATCAGAGAAAATACATACATAGTAGGAGACTTCATATGCTACTCTCAGCAATGGACAGATCAACAACACAAAATACAATGGAACAAAGAAAGCATGTTCAGCAAATGCTGCTGGGAAAACTGGGAAACTACATGCAAAAAAAGTGAAGCTAGATTATTGCCTCACACCATACACAAAAATCGACTTGAAGTGGATTAAAGACCTAGACATAAGAACGGAAATCATAAAATACCTGGAAACAAAGATGGGCCAAACA